TTGGGCAATTGCCTTTTTTCTTTCAGATCACTTGTTGGCATCCAAAAGTTCAGTATTCTTGACTTTTTAGTATAAACATATGGGGAAGGGAATGCAAACCTGGAAATGCTGTAACCATAAACTGGGGCAAATTAAAGCTTTGGGACCTTTTGAACACTTAAAATGGGGTAGCCTCGTTGTGTTTGAGCAAATCCACACAACCTACTCAATCCAGCATAAGGATGGTCCATAAATCATTTAGAACAGTTTTGTATAACGGTTTCCATAGTGGTAAACTACCAGCTGTGACAAAATGGTAATACACAATGTGTATTAAGATCTGAAATCCATAAGCTGTGTGAGTCTATGGTGGCAACAAATCAGGAGTCTGGTAGCACCTTTTCCAACTAACAACTTTTATTAAAAGTCATAAGTTTTCATGAGCTGCAACTCACTTCATCAGATGCACAGAGTGACTAGGCTGATGGTAGGATTTAAACTGGGGTGAGATGATGGGGTGATAGATGGAGGGAAATGAGGTGAAGTTAGATTGGTTATGTAGATGCAGGTTACATGTGAGATGCAGGATACAGATACTTTATCAAATAACAATTGTACAGTAATGTGTTAAAAACCCATTGTGTTTGTTAAGACTTTCTGAGATTACCTGAAACCTTCTCTGTCAATGGTCCCACTTTTAAAGTCCCACTTTTCCAAAACAGGCATTTTGAAGTCTGCAATGGAGTGTTTCTCCACTACATGGGTTCTCTGGCAAGGATCCAGACAATGATAGGAGATATTTCCTTCCAAGTTCTGGTCAAAGGCCTGGATTTCATGCCTTCAATCACTTTAATCTGTATGTTGCCTTACAACCCTAGGTTTCCTGAGAACACTTAACACACTTTAAAGACTTTATTTTATCTCACTACCCCAGCAATGAGAGACAATAATACAAAAGGGAAGTGAAGGAAAAGTGACCCATCTTTGTGGTACTCATAGAACCACAAACCATCAGTTTCTTAACTACGATATGGAACTGACTACTAGTAATAGTGTGTAGGTATACATTGGTATTGGCACATCTGCGTGTCTGTGCTTGCATATGTTTCTATTCATGTCTGTAGGCATCTCTTTCTCTGCATGATTACCCATATTCTGGTTCACTGGCCAGGAAAGTCCATATGTAGCTTTCCAGACTCATGTACAATTTTGATCTGCAGATTGTGTTCTCCAGTAAAATCCAAGAAAAGCAGCTGTGCCTGCCTAGAATAGCAACTGACGACCTACTGTGTTCAGATGCACAGCACCCCAACCCCCATTCCTGCTAATCCCCACGTTACCACAGAACACTGGAGGTAGATTACAGCAAAATTATACAACTAGCAAAACCTTTTTTTTCAGAACACAACACAACTTCAAGCAAAGGACAAAACAGAAAGTATGTCAAAGGGAATTAAGGGAGTCCATGGTCACCTGCATGTTCTGCATTGAAGGCATCCTACCACACTTCTGGGATGTCATTCCCTCTGTGAAGGCCTTTTTGTGCTCCTGGAGTTCAACAGCTGTCTGATCAGCTCGTGCCCCTACACCTCTGAAATGTGGAGAGATCAGCAATAAGAATTAAGAACAGGAGAGATTGTGCTTCTCTCACCTTGGGATAGGGACTACTGAAGAGAAGTACCATGCTGTGCATTGACCCAAGAGCAAAAGAATTGGCTGCTCATAACCATAAGCACAGGCTGGGTGCCCATGCACAACTAAAACAGTAATCAAGTATAGGTTGTGGGTGGATGTGTTTTCATAGACCCTTGCTCAGCCATGGACTCTTGTCAATTTACTATTGCATAGAACTCCACCAGGTTTGACACAGAGATGGACTCCCAATGTGCTTCCGTCCTCTCCATACTGCAGCATGGGAAATAAATTTTGACGTGGCAATGCCAAACATGATGTGGGAATAGATCCAGCACCACAGCATTGCTGTTCTGTGTGCTGTGCTGTGGGCCAGTAGGACAGTAATATTGAATTACTATTAGTTCAATACTATTGAATTATTATTGAATCTCTACCAATGGCTTGGCTTCTACTGTCCTGAGGAGCTCTCTGAGCTTGGTTGTTTGCTTGCAGACATTTCACTACCCAACCAGGTAACATCACCAGTGTTAGTGAGTGTGCAGTTTGCTCCCTGATTTTTTATACAGTAGCTTGCCCTGCCAGTGTTTGTGGGGGTGTGGTTTTCTCCTTGGTAGTTCCTGAGGTCTCATGGTTTGGTAGAAACCTGTACAATTTGTAGCAGGGCATCACTTCTTGCTGAGCCAGGTCCTGCACTGATGGATTTGCAGGGTAGAATATCTAGCAGTAGCAGTGAGTCACTGTAAATGCAACATGGTTGCCAAGCTTTTGTACTGTGTTCATAGAGTCTCACACTGAGCCTCTTGCTAACATACCACAGCCCATACAGATACCTTAGCAACCTTTGCCTGTGGGCAGAATGATGCTGGTGACCCAAAGGCTGCTAAAAATAAATAACAGGTCAGATATAAAGTTTTAGGTTTTGTGATGTCAGTGCTCCCTCAGTCTCTGCTCCCCACCCCCCACCCCAAGGTATCCATAATTGCAAAGATACCCACTTTCTTTTGTATCCCAGCCATGGAGTGAAAGGAATCTGTTTGCATGCTTGTGTTGCTCTGGGTGGGGGGAAGTGGTGAGTGGGTTGCATGGGCAGGATTCAAGCCTCATAGCACATGGAGCAACTGTAAGTGCAACTGTAACTGCCTACTGTATAAGAAAATATATCTAGGAGAAGAAAGGGAGGAGGGAAGGAGGCAGGAGAAGGGAGGGGATATTGTTGAGTCTTTCTTCATGTTAATTTTGACACATCGGTAAACAAATGGATATAATGCATACCTCTGTAGAATTGTCTGTCCAAAGGGACTGGCCATCCCCCACTGCCATGTGTTTAGGTAACAGTCTGCTGCTAACTGGCTGGTTGCCTCACACTGTGTGTACCCCTTCACCTCTTTGTACTTCATCCACACCTGGTGGGCCATGGGTGGTTGGTAGCACTTCCACTCCAGCTCTTGTGATGTCCTCCAGTAAACTGCAGAGGAGGCCAGGCAACTACTTGCAACCCACTGCCTCTACACCCCCACTGCAGAAGCAGGGCCAGGATAACTTCTTGAGTAGCCATGTTGGAGAAAAGGACAATGGAGCGAAGGAGCTAGGAGATAGCACTGACTGATCATATTGTTGTTGCAGCAACCCCTAGCTTACAGACAGTGAATCTAGATGCTGAGGCTGAGACAAGGAGCCTGACACACCACAAATCAATAAGAATAAGAGGTTGTTCAGTCCCCACCGTGCACCAGCCATAATACATAAACCACATGCAGCCCTATGTTCTGTTGTGTGATTGCCACTTCAACACTGACACATGGGTCCCACATGCTGACCCCTCCACTCAAACAGTTGATTACACAATGGGCCACATTTCAACAGAAAACACATATATGTGGGTGGTAAATCTACATTATCCCAGTGAAGGCACAATTAAATCCAATATAGCAGATATCCATGGCCCACTTAAATGCCCATGACTATATTGTATATAACTATATGACTGTGCTCAAGCTTTTAATGAACATGTGTTATTTGTTTACAACAGGGGGCAGCATGACATTTTCATGTGTGGATGACAGTATGATGGAAGTGTTGGAAAAAATGAGTTGTAGCATGTGGCAATTTCTGAACACTGACTACAGGAAGCAGTTTATAACATTACATACCAAGTATCAATTGATAGTCTTTGACTGCCATATGCTGCCCCTGTATGGACCACAACAACGCATCAACCCACTTTCATGCACATGGGTGTGAGTGAGCAGTGTGCACTGTGCAGGTAGAAAGATTCTGAGTACTCTGTAGTCTGGCACAGCATAGAAGCAGAGGTGGGATTGCGTGAATTTGCCTTTTCTCAACAATATATCAAAACATGCACAACATTGTAATAATGAGTCGACATTGTGTAGAGTTAAAAAATTCAGAATTGTTTCCTTCCCTTGAAATACAAGCTCCTTAGTTCCCACATTTGGCAATTCAGATCCTGAATCTAAAATAACACTATTCATCCATTTTTCACTCTATCCTGCAAGAAAGAAATCAATTGATAAAGGCAATTATGCTGCTTATCCTTTATGAAAAAGAACAGAAAAAGAAAGCTACAAGCATTTTTCCAAAGGTGCACTTGGGTGATAAAACTTTCTTCTGCTAGCAAAAGCACATAATTCACAAAATGCTCCAGTTGGAAGTGGTTTGTTTGTGCTTCTTTGAACTTTGGTATTAAGTTGCACGAGGCATCCCTTTTAAAATCTCACAAGAGAAAATGTTAGATTTGCATCAATTTTCACAGATCATCATTTTTAACCTGAAATTATCTTCTAATCACTGATCATTTCTGTCTACAGATTGACCATTATAACACATTTTACAAAAGCAACTGACGTTGTACCTGTTTAGACTAGAAAGAAAATTTGCTTTCCTGTTCTTTGTATGTCCTATCTTTATGCTTTTGTTGGGGGGGGGGAATAATACAGAATTAAATTAGAAGCTGGTGCACATTCCATAGAGCACGATGAATTTCAAACTGCCGAACACATTGATAGCAAAAGATGGGGTGGGGCGGGGGGGAACCAAGACCTTGTAATATTTCCACATCCTTTCTTGGGCGCAGTTGCTGCCTCCCGCTTCCAAAAAGCTCAACATGCGACTGCCCCCAAGCGCAGTACCCTCCTGTCTAACACCGCGGACTGACACAGTACGCACCATCAACCTGCACAAAGGGAGGAGTTCAGTACAGTTCCTGTGACAATCCAATTTCAACCTCGCTTCGCCCCGATGCAAACTTTGCTCCAATCCGAAGATGGCAGGGCGGAGTTTCCTAACTTGGGACGCGCTGCCTGGCGCTCTAGCAACTGGTCGAGCTTGGGGGCTCCGTATTGCGTAGATGATAATCAGGGCGGCAGAGGCGTACTGCGCTTCTCTGCCTCCCCGAGGCTGTAGTGCCTCCTCCACCTTATGCGCCCTTCGCAATTGCTGCTGCTGCCGCCGCTCCAGGACTTCTATATAAGTGTTAAAGCGGCCGCTTGCTGAAGATGAACGCGTCTTGGCTTCGCAGTCCCACCAAAGCTCTGTCGTCAAGCTCACTTGCAAGAAGGTAGCTGTGACCGGAACGTAGAACTGCAGAGCTCAGCAATAGCAGTTGCATGCTGTTGTCATGAGTTGCTCGGACGTGGTGAGGCATCAGGCGCAGGCGACGTGTCGCCCGCCCCAGGTGAAATTGCCCGCAGCATCTGCCGTGCGTTCCACGGTTCCTTGTCCGTTCTCCACACCAGCGTTCACGTCGAGCCAACAGGTGAGACTCTTAGCGCGCCGACGGGAAGGCTGTTATTCTCGTAGTGGGCGGAGAAAGCAGAAATGGGAATGACGGAGTCCGTGAGCCCCATCCTTGGGAAAGGTGGGATGGGTGAACCCAGGAGTCGGAAAAAATTGATGAAGTGTCTGCTCAAACAAGGAACACTGGAACTTTTTCCCTGGAGGGCCCTGAGTGATTTTTGTAGCTGAACAAATGCCGTGCATCACTTAGATGCCTGGGCGTTAGCTCATTAGGTGAACATACCTGATTGAACAGAATGGCTGGTTGCTCTGACCTGAGTCCTGTCTTCAGGACATGCACCATGTGTGCAAACATTCTTCCGGCACTCTGCAGTCCAGGAGTAATACCCATGTTTTCACCATACGTACTCCATATAAAAGGGCATATGCATCTGATCAGATGAAATATTTTACTCAGTTACTTGCTGTTGTTCACAGTTGTATTCATGAACACATGCTTTGGCTCACTACTAACATCTCACACATAGCCCAACAAATCTTAATCTGAATATGATGCAAAATACCACTGCACAGTGAATGGCAGTTTATCTTTGCCATCATATGAGTATTTGAGAGGATTCTGAGCAGAAGCTTATGGGTGCCTGTCAGATGAGCAGAGTCTTTAACAGGGAATCTATGACAGAAGAGAAGTCACTGCCACTTCATTAGCAGAGTGAATATACTACAAACTGGTAGTACATCATCTATTTTAAAGTTATTTCCCACCAGACCAGTGGTGTCAATATCAGGAGATTGTGGGAGATGTAGACCAGCGCATCCAAAGGGCGCTGGCATGTCTATCCCTCTTTTGCTGAGCCTTTTTTTAGCATCAGAGATGTCTTCTGTATTATTCAGACCAACCTACTATGCTTTATTATTGGCAATGTGTGGACTACCAGTTGTGTTCCCAAACATGCTACTTTGGATGGCAGGCAAGCCAAGCTTTGAATATGAGAAAACATGCTGCAATGAAATGTGGTTTCTTGAGGGGATCAGATACATATGCCAATATATCTTGAAAAGGAAAAAGGAATTCAGTGTTATTGGCCTGCTAAGTCATCATATTGTTTGTTTGCAACTTAACCTATTAAGTAAACTCTTTTTTTTTTTCATAAACCAATATTTATGGCCCAGGAGGATGTGTGAACCCAGTCAATTGTGTTTATTCCAAAAACCTTGTTAAGGAAACTGGTTTAGCATGAGGTGTATGTAAATATTTGACAGAATATGAATTGTGTTTGTGTGTGTGTGTGTGTAGATACTCATTAAAGCTTGTGAGGCCAGCTTGCTACTTTTTCATCTTTTTTACCCCCTCTGTGCCCAGGGCTAGGGGGATTCTTAACTTGTTCTCTACTTGGGACTTGAAGACCCTTGTGAAGGCACTACCAAGAGCCACAGTATCCCTTCTCTGGCACGTAAGGTAAGGTAGTCACCTGAGGGAACTGTGCAAAGTGTTCAGCTATTCTCTTAGAAGAAGAGTGCACAGGACCTGGAAGTGTGAGGTCAGTCTGCTTGCACAAACTGCTAATAGGAAGGGGTGGTGGGGCTGCAGTTAGATGCAGACAGGTAGGGTTGGCAGAGTTCAATCATACTATCACCTAGCCATCCATGCTGACCACAACAATTTTTAGGTGGCTGAAGCTGAAGAAGAGTTGTAGCAGATATTTATGCAAAATAAAGGCTGTAAGTGAGAATGCAACAGAAAACTTTATCTGTTTATAGTGAATCATGAATTCCCTATTAATTCTGAATAAAGTCCAGAGAGTGTCCTTAAGGAAGACTGCATTTCTGGACATTTATGCCCCAGTTTTGAATATACAGTATGCCAGAAATAAGTCACATTAAATTCAGTAAGGTCTTTTACTTCTGAGTAAATGTGTTTAGAATAAATGGCCAGAACTCTCTTTTAGAAGTTAGTATAAAATTGTTTTCTGTACAGTTGGAAGTAAGTTTTAACAAAACTATTGAGCCTTGTTATAGTGCAAGTTTGATCATTGTGATGATTGTAGACCCTAAGGCATAAGTCCATCCTTAAATGGAAAGCCTAGTCAGTTTTGAGTTTTAGTTTTGTAGATATGTCACCAGAAATGCAGTATCTTAATTATAAAAAGAGAACATAGCTGGTCTGTTATAGCAAAAAAACATTAAAAACTATAGGATTTATTATTCTAGACTTCATAATAATGGACTACAATCTTTTGCATAAGATTATTTGATTAACTGAGATGAAAAATGTGAAAATTTAGTGCTACGGTAAATAAATATATTTCTGCTAAAGGTGCCGCAAGACTGTTATAACAACAACTGCTTGCTGTTTGTTTTTAACTAAGTCTACTGAGTTCTGACATGTTTCAGTTCCAAACAGACATAATACAGAAAATTAAGAATTATATGAATCAAACTTCTGCATAATGTTTACCGTGGCAGCTGTTTCAGTAGATGTGTTTTATTAAATACAATTTCATTGACTTCTTTGCTAATTGTGTGCAGAATTATGCGCTGGCATTTTAAAAAAAGATAGGAAGCAGCATTTTGCTATGTGTTTGATTACAGTATTGATTTTAAAGAACAGCTAAAACATTTAAAAATAATAGATCAAAGTTTATTTTTAAAATTCAGTTTTTACCCTTTGACTTAAGAATCTGATGTAACAAAGTAAATCAGGAAATTCTTATCAGGATGACAGCATTTTTAGACTATGCTGTGCGTGGGTGAAGTGGGACTAATATTGACTTGGCCCCAATGTAGTCATCTGAGAATTCACTTTTTTTTTTGGTTATTACTGCATTCCATGAGGTTTTATCATTATTGTGCACACACACACAAACACACAAAATGTTTTCTCCATACATGGGAAGTGACCCTTAATACCAGCTTGCTTGGGATTAACAAATATGGGCTAAAATACAATGATCTCTGTTTTAAAACTTATTTTTCTCTCCTGCTACTGTTAGAGTAGTTTTATCAAGGCCTGGCTAATTATTTCAAGACCATCATATATCAGGGTCAGGGCAGTATAAATTTGGAGCTCCCTCCACCATTCAGTTGAATTGAAACTGATTTTAAGATTTAGGTCTTCAGATTTATTTGAAGCAATATTTATTTGTTTATAATTTAAAATTGTATGACATTAATATCTACTATGAACAAACTTGCATTGCAAAAAGCAGATTTTTTTTGTATCTAGAAATATAAACTACTTTGAAATATTAGAATTTATTATATTTAAATTTTACTTTCTGTTTTTATGATAGAACATTAGAGTATCATATCATAATACACATTTTTTTAAAGAAATAAGGGAATATTTTGAAAATAACTGGCTTAAATTGGGCTAATTTTTTCTAGCATAAGTATCTGGTTTATTTCAAAATAATTAAGACTTACTTCCAAGTAATTATGCAGATAATTGACATTATTATTCTTCTGTTTCCCACATTATTATTAATTCAGTTTAAGCCTGCCTTTTTATTCAGTGCACAAAAATACCAAAAAAGAATTTGCTTTTGCCAAATAAGAAACAGCAGTATTATACATACTGAAAGCATAATGAAAAAGACATTGGGATCTTAATATCATTTTTAGAAGCCTTTTATTTATTTAACAAATCTTTTTTACTGCTTTTTTTTTTAAATAGAGTTTTATAAAATAAAGTACTAATTTCCTATCTTTGAAGAAAAGAGTTGCCTTTTTAAATTACAGAAATGTATATGGCTGCTATTGAATTACAATATAAACTTTGTACTTGATCATGTGTTGTTTTATGCGATGTTGCATGCACATCAAAGGATTATGGTGGTAAGAAGTTCAGTATAATTTTTAGTGAAATTTATTTAGATTGCAGAGTGACTAAAAGCAGAAAAAGCAGCATAAAAATATTTATGTTTTCAAGGAGAGGTTTTGAAATCTTATTCTGTATATGTATTTGTTTTAAAAGAAGAAAGTTCTTGCTTCTCAAGATTACTGGATATGTTAGGCCAAAAACACACTGCAGTATATACATCTCACTTGCTTAACCATGTTGTAGTTACATGAGATTTGGTGGATGGTTATAATAACGCTCTTTTACATTCCACTATCCACTTTTCCTTGATCTGCCCTATATTTACATTATGGACATTGGATTCATAGAACACCAGGGGATTTCTCCACTTTTAAGTTAAATTATGTTAACCTGCTATCCACTATCCTTGACTTGGCAGAATTTTTTTTTGTTTTTTTTTGTCTTCTTTGCCTGTCAGTTTACTAATTGGTTCTGTTGCACTGCTAAATGTGCCCTGATTTCTGAGTGGACTGCTTGTTATAGGCAAAGTGATTTGCTTTCTCCCCCAGGCTTTCAAAGCAGGGTGGGTTTGACTTCAGTACTCTGCTGAGCTTCTGGGCAGAGACTCTTTGGGACTCCTTCCACACCCCCTACTGGGCATCCCCCAAAGTAAAATAATGTGAAATAAATATATGGGGAGACACCAGGACAGAAGTAGCCCCAAAAGAGGAGGCAAACAGTTCTGCTATGACTGTGTTAACTCATCAGGTGTTATACAATGGGATAAATGCAACTGACTAGGTTGTGATCAGCCATTCATTGGGTGGAGGAGAACGAAGTGATTGAAAATAACACATCTATAGAAACTGGCAAATAAGTTACAGAAGTTACAAACAGAAGGGCATTCATGTTGTCTAATCTGCTTGACTATGTGATATACTAAGTATCTGACCTTCATGAAACAAACCTGCAGAAATGATTCACTGCATTTAAAGATTTTTTTTTTGGGGGGGGGAGAGCTAGCACTTGGTGTGGCTGATGAAATAAAGACAATATAGTCCAAAGCCACTGTAACTCATTCTCTTTGCCACTTCTCATTGTGTCAAATTGGGACATTTTGTCCCAAATGTATGCTAAATGTGGCACCCGCAGCAGATGAGTTTGTGAGACCTAGCTTAATCAACACTGGGAATCAAGTAAAGTGTTTGTAGAGGCAGGGAAGCACACTGGCCCATCAAATATGATATTCAGAGAAAGAACAGGGCACATATTTCAAGTGACTGACTTCAATTCCAATACTGATTGTGATGGTACTTATTTCAAGACCCTCATTTCTAGAGTCCTCTGTTTCCAATATAGAGCACCTTCTGCCAAACTCCAGGTCCTGGACTTGATGGCAGAAGCAGAGGTAAAGGAAAGAACTTCTTGCCCTTCCCTTTAGTCCAGTCCCATGGCTGTTTAGTCTCTCAGAAACATGGTCTGCCATGCTCAGTTGATTTTATATGGTCAAAAACAAAGGTGAATTGATATATTCCCAAGTTGATCACTTAGTACTAAAGCTATTGATAATGTTCAGGATACCAGGAGATTCTTTTGTCTGATATCATCCATTCATTTGGTATTTCTACCCCTATGATTATCATCTTAGGGCGTATCATCAGTGTCCTGAGGATTCTCCCTCTTCCTAGGAGGAGGACATTCTCACGCCCCCATACACTCTTCCATCAGTCATACACTCTTCCATCAATCATACACTAACTTACCTCAGCAGTAAGATTTACTGTCTTCTTACAATCTGCCATCAGTGCCACATGAAATATTCAACACAGTGTCAGTGTTATCCTTGATTTTTTTTTCCACTTATGGGTTGCAAGAATACCATATGTAAGTTTACTATGTGTCTGCTCATTCTGAACTTAACCTTTTATAAATTATCTGTTGTGTCTGGAGGGAAAAAAAGTCACTGCCAGTTTCCCAATGCCTTAATACAGTTGGGCTGTGAGGTCAAAATCCTGATTTTAGTCTAGTTTTTCTTCCCATATATTAGTTAACTGGATCCACATATTATATTTCTCATCTTTCTCCCAGGAGCTAAAGTTGGGATATACAGCACAATATCTCTGTATGGTAGGTTTGGCTAAAAGAAACACGTTGCTTCTTTGGGAAAAGATTTACTCGACCACAAGTCTTCAACATCTTACAGGCTTCCTGGTTTTCTCAACACCTTTAGAAACAAAAGGCGAAACTCTTATGGACAGAAAATTACATAACAGTAGCAATGTCTCCTTCAAATTAAGCTTCATTTCGGATGACCTCATGGCCACTACAGAAGTGGCTTGCTATTGACTTTTCATAGATAGACAGACAGACAGACAGACAGACAGATAATTTTCAGTCAAATGCAGCCTAGGCATTTACTGGTAGACTCCCATCCACATACTAACTGGACCAAATTAGGCTTTTGAGATCAGCCAATATTAACTAGGTGCTATTATTTATCAGGGCAAAAATCATGATCTTTATGCTTAATTATTTTGGCAGTTGGGTTTGATTGGAGATAAAAATAATTAAGAATAGTTATTTGGAAGCTTCTATCTATCATTTGTCTTTAATTATTTTCCTGTTTTGTTTTTTTACATTTTTAAAGGGTTTATTTATTTTTAATCATCTTGTACATGTAATTTTTTTTTACATGACAACAACATATACTTAAATGAGAAAAGGCAGACTTATTTTACATTTTACATTAGCAGCATCTTATGCTATGATTTAAAAATATTCTGTACAAAGGGTTTAATTCTAATACCCCCATCTTTGTACATTAACAGTCTCTGACACAAATAATACCCAGAAAAATAATGAGAAAAGCAAAGATGAATATGTATAATTGAATGATAAGGCTAAAATGGTTTACAACACATGGTGCATAAAAGAGGGCTGTAAATCTTAACATGCATCTTAACATTGACTAGCACTGAAATAATAAATTGCTGGCATTCTTCTCTTTTTCATCAAAATCTATTACTTCCATGTTTCATATCTGAATTCTTCCTCTTTTTCACTGAGGGAAGGAGTTAATTTTCTCTTGATTCTCTATTACCTACTGTCCGTGATTGATCATCCTAGGAAAGAGACATCAGAAAAAATTGTATATCTGTTAGGAGAAAGATAGGTAAGATTTTCCAGCCAGTTCTGGAACATTCAAAAAGGCTTGTTTTATTTGCTTTTTCTAGCAGAAGCAAATAGCCAGATGGAAAATAAAAAGGGGACCCTAACAGGCCATGACACTAGCTAACTGGCAGATTTCCTACTATATAGATTGGGCCATGGGTACAGTTATAACAGATATATGTTTATTCATTTTAATAGGTTAAATGATCGTTTGCTTTTATGTTATGTAATTAGCATATCTCTTGTCTACCCATTTTTTTCTCCTCAGAGTAAGGTAGTTGTATACAGCAAGATGCAAGAAGCTCTCGAAGTGACACTTTCTAATAAGCAAGAGGAAGATGAGAAAGATCAGCCTACTGAAATGGAATACCTTAATTCTCGCTGCGTCCTTTTCACTTACTTTCAGGGAGACATTGGCTCAGTAGTGGATGAACACTTCTCAAGAGCTTTAAATCAAGCTAACAACTTTAGTTCAGAGGCTATTCTTTCAAAAAGCAAAACAGAAATAAATCCACTACGGAGAGGTAAGTTTTAAAAGGAAAACTGAATTGCACGTTGTTTTCTTCATAGATGTGTACAAACATATATTGTGATTTCTTCCAGTTAAGTGCATTACTATTACTTAAAGAACAAAAACAATACAAAACAAAACAAAAACACACCTGTACCTACAACCAACACTTGTGAGATGCCCCTAGAGAAATCTCTCTAGCTGTCAAAATACTGCTGTGGATGCAACCTAAATAGTTGCAAGCAAAATGTGGAAATGCTTGGGAATGTTTTAATTATTATTAGTGTTATCCTTTAATATATAGAAAAATAAAAACATAAGAATAATTGAAAATGCAAAAGAAAAAGACCAAGGAAAGCAATAGAAACAGATATCACATGCAGAGAAAAATTACTCATTTGCCCAATTTTAAACATATCAGTGTGTGATCATGTGAAAAAATATTGGTCATTACCCCAATTAACAGACAAAGTGAACCCACATTGTTGATCCAAAATTGTAATTCTGTGGCCTTACTGCTTTTATGACATTGAAGAGTAGTACTGTATGTTTTTGGAGCAACTCAAACTTTGCAAATAGTTGGCATAGTTCTTCATGTAATGATACATTTCAAACATGGGATATGTAATTCAAAAGTACATTCAGCTCTTCAAACCACTTTAAACCATTTAAATAAATGTACGGATATTAAATTAACATAGTGAGACAAGCCCATATTGTAGGAGTAAATGTCTTCCCACCCATTTTACACTTCTAGAATTATGAGATTGACAACAAACACTTTAAAAAAGTTAAAACATTATCTCAGTTTTCAATAAACATAAGAGACAATATTTTACTGAATGATTTCATCTAAAGATAAACAAACATACTTTCTATTCTTCAAAGTCCTTAACTACTGATTTGTTAGTATGTTGCAATCTAGCCCTTTATTCTAAGGTTCTTGCAAATAATTAATATCTACCTCAATGGTACTATTTAATTATTTATAAAAATAGATTGTAGATTCAAAATCATCCCATCACCAAACCAATATTGAAAATAATTCAGGTTTAGATGCTGCTAATTCATCTTGACTGAACAGTGAGTTAAAAATACAGTATGCTTAAATTCAAAATACTTCTGTTTTGCAATTGGCTATGCACACTCCTGTTGCAGAAAAAAAAATCATGAAATGTTTTCCACTTTCAGAAATTTGGGCACTGGTGTGCTACTCAATAATTTTCTCACTTTTCTTCTCATGAGAGAGGTAATCATATTAATAGGAAAAAGTAGCACAAATCCAATAATTTGTGTCAATCAGCAGTTATGCTTTTGTACAGCCACGAAAGCGAGATGGGGCAGTCATTCTCTCTCAGCTCAACTCACCTCACAGGGTTGTTGTGAAGAAAATAGGAAGCAGGAGTATTAGGTACGTTCACCACTTTGAGTTATATATTAAAAAGGTGGGATAAAATTATTATTGTTGGTCGCACAGTCAGCCAGATGTTTAGTCTGGATTTGGCATTTTTATCCATCTATCGAGCCCTTCCCAAGGACCTGGGATAGGCAGATGTTGTTGTTTGATGGTATTAAAGGTAGCATCACAGGATGTAAGTTGCTCCAAGTAAAGCTGCCTTTTGCAATTGATTGATGGTGATTTTGTCAATGCCAATGGTCTTCAATGGTGCTCCAGATGTTTTGGGATTGTACCCAAGATACCTGTTACTATTAGTACTAAAGGTACTATTTTTTCTTTCTTTTGCCACAGTTGTTCTATAACTATTTGCAGGTCGTTGTTGTTGTTGTTATTATTATTATTTTATTTTATTTTATTTTATTTTATTTTATTTTATTTTATTTTATTTTACATTAGATAGTTCCAATAATGTTACTACACATGCTTGTTCAGATACTAGTAATTTTTCTTTCTTTTGCCACAGTTGTTCTATAACTATTTGCAGGTCGTTGTTGTTGTTGTTATTATTCTTATTTTATTTTATTTTATTTTATTTTATTTTATTTTATTTTATTTTATTTTATTTTATTTTATTTTATTTTATTTTACATTAGATAGTTCCAATAATGTTACTACACATGCTTGTTCAGATACTAGTAAACTTAAAGCCATATAACACAGTCTCTTGTAATTATTTTCATTAATGTAACATTAAACTAAGACCATAGAAAGTTTAATGAAGAAGTACAGCTAAGAGGTAATTTAAGTTTGCTTTGGATGACCAGATCTAAAGAGAGACAATAATCTTGAATTCATAGATTCATTATTCTAATTAGAGTAACTTAATTGCATGAACAAATGAATGATATGGTTTTACAGAATTTGTAAAAGTATTGTAACTAATCTTATTACTTCTAAGTATATTAGTTATTTATAATGCCATAACAAACAAAAAATAAAATAAACAGAAAAAACCCTAAAATTAACAAACTAAATTGATACAAATCACTCACAACAGTGACTCTGGGTAGCAAACAGAGGATTAAAGCCTCTGTTTCATAACACTCAAAACCTAAATTTCTATTGATAATACATAACATGTGCCCAGGCTTAAAAATCTAACATGAATCCATACCGACCAGCAACAAATCCACCATTAGGCTGATTTAACTCCTGGGATTATTGCCGGAGTGAATGTTCAACACCTCTGCTCCATGATCTACACTGGCTCCCAGTGGGCTTTCTGGTGCAATTCAAGGTGCTGGTTGTCACCTATAAGGCCCTACATGGCATATGGTAGTGTTTGTCAACCCCAGCAACTTTAAGATGTATGAACTTCAATGCTGGCTGGGGAATTCTGGGGGTTGAAGTCCACACATCTTAAAGTTGCTGAGGTTGAGTAGTATTGGCATAGGGTAAGGATACCTGCAGGAGCATCTGTCTATGGTCATTTCTGCCTATCTGACCAATACTGGCAGGGTAGGCATGTCCCACATCCTTTCTATTAGGAAATATCATCTTGTGGGACAGGAATTGTGCCTTCTCTGTTGTGGCACCTATCTTATAAGCAGTGTCCCCTCAGAGATCTTTCATAAGGCAGTTTGAGATATCCTTCTCTTATAAGAAAGTTGGGATAAAAATATTTGTCTTCATAACCTTATGCATTGCTTTTATAACATTATATAGCTTTTTAAAAATACCTTCTTAGTTCAAAAATCACTAGTTCGTCAGATTTTCAATTATTCTGCATTAAATTATTACATTTTAATAATATCAGTTTAATCCCAGTTTCAATTTAAAAAGTATAGTAGATATAGATATAAAGCACTGGTCACTTTAATAATAGATCATAAAATGTGCTTTGATTGTTATATTTCATGATGTAGTTTCAGTAACATTTAAAAAACAATTATGAATATCATCAATTACTTTAGATACTAGCAATGGTGTTTCTAAGTCCATTTTAAGAATTTATATCATATTTGCTTTTCTTTTAAAAGAGAACACAATTGCAAGCCAAAGGAGTGGTTTCCCAGCTTCATTTTGGACCAGTTATCAACCCCCACCTCCACCCTCCTTAAATGGAGTTCATCATGATTTTCCGGTTACTATACCAAGCACCTTTTCAGTAGCAGATCCTAACAGCTGGCCAGGACATACGTTGCATCAGACTGCTCCACCTCCTCCATCTAACATGCCAGAGTCTTGGCATTATCCATTAGCATCTCAGGTGAACTCTTCATATGGACATACGCATGATGTGTACATGCACCACCACCATCCCCATGTACACATGCATCATCACCATCATCCAACTTCACACCTTGACCCACGGTACAGACCTTTGCCAATGCCTTCAGTTTGTGCAGGCAAGATTCCTCCACCACAGTGTGATGCAACAAAGACAGATCCTACTACTGTCAGCTGTGCTACCTCAGCTTGGGCAGGAGCCTTTCATGGAACAGTTGATATTGTGCCAACATTTGGTTTTGAAACAGGTAAGTTGGAATATCGACAGATATTTCAGAAAATGTATGACATATGTCTTTAAGAGTATTGCATTTACATTCTTCCTTTTTTTCCCAGAGTTCAAGGTGGTACACTTGTTTTTTCCTGTTTAATCTTCACAAAACCCTAGGACAGGTTAGAAATAATAATTGGCTTAAGGTCACTCCATAAGCTTTATGGTTGATTGAAGATTTGAAGCTGGATCTTCATAGTCCTAGTTCAACATTGTAATTGCTAGATTTTTTTTCAGCTAAGTTGCTAATTATGAATCCTTATCATTGTTATGGAAAGCTGCAGTTGCAAGAATAGATTTGCAAAGGGAGAAAATGAATTGTTCACCACTACTGAAATAAAACAGGGAGGCAAAACCCAAGGCATTATATTTTGTCTTTGTAGCAAAGATCTGAGATATATGATAGATACTGTAACTTCTTAATATAAGATGATAGAATTTTTCTTTATTATAGCTCAACATACCTGTTTTTGGGAATAGTTTTCTTCAAAAGTTCTTTAATTCTAGGGTTCTTGTTTGTTAGTATACGCATCTGTAATAAATTTGGTTTCTTAATCTTATTCAAGAATAGGATGTTCTAAATTCACATAGTGTAGACCCAAGGGATGTTTTTAAAAATTCAGTGGTATGTGCAGTGGTATGTACCCTTTTTCCAAACAAACCAGCATACGCTATCAATTTTACTCAATTATTAATACAATTATGTTAAAATTTGTAAATAGAAGTTTCTTGCTAAAACTGAATTGCTTTTTCTGACTTCTGGGCTTTGAGCTTGGAAACTTTATAATCTTTAGTCATTAAGGCAATTGACATCTGGTTTCAGCCTTGACATTGCCATAATTCCCCAGAATGTTAAGTTACCATTTGGGCTACAAACAACTGCATTATAATTATACATACCAAATTCCATTGTGATAACTCAATATTTTGGAGTAGATATTACATTAATATGTTTCCTGCACCCACAGATGCAGGGACAAGTTGCTGTCCCTGGAAAACTTTCTCAAAGCTATGTTTTATCTTCAGGACAGACATAATCTTACGAGAAAGAACAGAAAATGTTAAATTGTTATGTTAACCCAAAAGCTCAGTTGTTTCAATCATTGGCACAGAGAAAATTATTGTTAGGGCTATTTTGAATCAGTCACTTAAAGCAACTTCTTGAATCCACAACTTCTAAGTATGATAAGTTCAGATGTGGTCTCTAGTAGATCTGACTGCATTATTACTACCTGAATGTTAAATTTGATGCAAACTACTATTTAAAGCATTGATATGCAAACTCAGTAGTGATTCAAAGCTGTTCTAATGTCTGTATGTGCATACATCCTGGAAATGTTTTCTTTAACTCATCTTAACATGATTGGTAAACCAATCATCATCATTTGCAAACCATTGTTTATGCTTTGTGTTATGAGCAAATCAGGCCATTATGATTTGTTTGACAAACCATGAGTTAAATCACACATGGCTTAGTGTGATCTATATACCAAGCCTGTGTATTTAAGATTTAAGATGCACAAACCTTTGCTAGATTTACCAGAACATTAAAGTGTCATAGTTGGAATAAAAAAAGATAACCCTAATGAGATGGATCATCTAGTTACTGGCATTCTTTGGTTCAAAATAGCAAAGCATAATTTTGTTACACAGAAACTTAAATTCAGAACTCCACTGCATTTGAATCTGGATGTTTCATTTGTATGTCTTAAATATTCCTGTGCTATATCATCTAGCAGATGACATAGCATATCTCATTGGCATTGCTGAGATGACCATATGAAATGCAAAGAATAACAGTGCCCAAGAGGTAAAGCCAGTTGAAGGACCTTCGTAAATCTTCCAAAGTATTGTGGGACTTGTACCTTCTGTTCATGAATGGCATAACTCAGCTCTGACAAAATATGAATTATTGCTCACTAACCCACATTGAATTGTGAAAACCTGGTACCTGCTGTCTATCAACTCTGCATAGGGCATGGATTTCCAGAGGGTGGAATTCCTCTTATTTCTAGTCCTAACTTTTTTTTTTTTTTTTTGCTGGATATGAGTAAACCATTTCTTCCTGGGCAGGCATTTAAAAATGGCATCCCTTCACAATAACATGGAAAGGAATAGAAGAATCCCCAGGAAACACAGCTGAGGATATCACCTAGTCCAGATGGTCCTTAAGCTGAGGCCAGTTGGGCAAAAAGATCATGCCTTATATATAAAATGTAAATATAGTTTTTTTTTACCTATTCATAGATAGTAGACCACAAAGTTTCAGGCCCTAGAAACTATGCCACATTTAAAGAAAATAATGTATTTTTTATGTTTTTGTTCTCAAAATAATTAAAATAATTAATTTTAAAAATTTAAGTAATTATTAACAAATAATAAAAACAGCTATTTACATTCTGAGACGACACCATTAAGGAAAGGGGGAAAAGTAATTTCAATCCAAGGCTCATAAAATCCTTCACCAATTAGTATAATTTAGGAAAACATAATGCTGACTTTTTTTTTTTTTAATCAATAGGTTCATTTGGCACTATTTTAAGCAAATCTATTTATCCATAAGGATCAGTGGAGACAGGCTCATTTACTTCACAATTTCTATGTGTTATGTCAGTAAATTACATTAGATAAATTTTATTACTTTAAATTATTTTTCCTTTTTTCTTTTTAGATTAGATTAGAATAAAATACATTCTCTAGCTGACTACTCTAAATATCAAAAGGGAAATGGGGAGAAAATTTTTGAATTAAAACATGGGACTGAACAAAGTAATTCTTTTTGGGAGTGATGAAGTGAGAGAAGTAACAAATAATGACTAGAATAAAGATAAAACATCAAAAGGTGAATAATGTGGATGTATTTTAAGTGTTTTTGACTTTCTCTATCTCATTTTCTGTACTAGTTGCTGGAAACCAGCAGGCTTTACTCTCACATTCTCATTTATATAATGATAGAGTCAAATAGTGCTACTTGCTGCCTCAAGAAATTAAGAAAAAATAGCACAACTAGATCTTTAAAAGGTCTGGATGATTTTATGGCCATTAATAATATTTGCAGCTGCAGAAATGAGAAAATAGTAATTACATTTCATGTTTTGAGCTATAATGTCATCATCTGCCAAGACAAGCAACAATTGGTTTTCTCTTGATGGACTCTGCTTTTTGGCAAGGCATATTTTTAGTAGATTTGAGTTCTCTGTGAAATTTGCTATCATTAACAAATAGAAGGAAAGGTGAGTCAAATATTATAGCAGATCTTTTTTTCTTTTTCTTTTTTGTCTAGACTATCACTTAACCCACAAAAATAAAAAAAAATGTTGTTTCCATTAAAAAAAACAAATTGAAAGGAAAGATAAAAAAAAAAAAACAGGAAATACAGGACTATTATTCCCTGGGTAAAAGAAAAGTTGTAAGGGCAGAAGGTCATCTAATTGGCTGTGTGCACCTCCACATGTAATACCTTTAATATAGCCATAATTTATGCTTTAAAAATAAAATACTAATACTCCAGTGCAGCGAGTTATGTCTTTGTGTGTTTCCTGATATGTCAAGGTGGTTGACTGTGGCTGCCATTAAAGAACCAATTAAGTAGAGAGAACAGGCCTCTTTTTTCATACCAAGAGAGTAGCATTATTGAGACTGATAATGTTGAGTTCACTGGTCAGAGCTACACTTGTGACTTCTTAATCTAAGAAATGAATTGAATAAAGTGTTAAAGCTAAATTCAGTTTTTTAACAGCATGAATATAACTTATTTTTGCATGGTGTTCCGAATCCAGCTTTACCTGGGTTATGACGCATAAAAGCTTAGTATGTATAACAAAGTGTATGATAAAATATGTCTTTTTTTAAATGGATAACTGGAGATCCTGTCTGTAGGACACCTCAAATATTCTAAAAGTTAAAAGAAAGGAAGGATGCCATGAGGACTGAGTGAGCGTATGTAGGGAGGAATAAGAGAGAGGCTGCTTGGGTTAGAAAATTGGAGGGATTAGAATGCCTGGGTTTCAGTGTATGGTTTCTCAGAAGGCATCTTGTTCAAGGTTTCCTTAATTCCTATACTACTCTATCATTAAATTGGAAATTAATAGATCCTCTACCACATGTATATAACATTAACAAAATGGATAAGCCCTGTGTGTTTATTCTGTTTTCTGGGGGTGAGGGGGAGTATAAATTTGTTTATATTCAGCAGTTTATATGCATGTGTGATCTAGTCTTAAAAACTATGTACCTGAGAAATTACATAATGAAGAACAGTCTCCATGACATATTTGGCCTTGAAGTGGCATTAAGGATGCCTGTTTTATTTTTGTCAATGAGAGAGTACATTTGCCATGATGATAAAATCATTTCATGAATAAGGTACCAGCAGGAAAGAAAGAATAATCATTCTTTTTCCTCCTTGTAGATTATTTTAAAATGAAGAGCAGGCTTGTTAAGTTGTGAATCTATGGCTGTAGGAGATGGGAGTGACAGTTTGTTCATTTGTTACATTTATGTCCTATGTTTCCTCTCTTAAGGCATCTTGCATGGTTGTGTGTTCCATTTTATATTGGTAAGAATCCTGTGAGGAAGATCAGGTGGAGAAAATATAATTGGCTTAAGGTCACTCTGACTCTGTTTACTCTTTGCACTCCTATGATTTATTGCTAACAATAATCTCATTCATTGCTGTTTCTCTCCATTAATAAAATGGCATAGAGCCTTCTTTCTGCAAGGAGAGCTCAACAATCAATGCTCCCAATATGTCCTGTCAAAACAGTGCAAACTATTGTTAGCATCATTGCCTTATTGCACCAACCTCTCATCATTATCCAAAGTTTGTTGACAGTTTTTAAACATAAAAAGATAATAAGTGAGATACATGTCCTTTTCTTTTCTGTTCAGTTATGAAACATAGTTTTCACATGCAGAGTTTTTGTGTGGCTGAGGACTGGGGCTGAAGTAGGAATGGTGAAGGGTGAAGAAGTACCATGATAGAGTTTGGATATCAGAATCATTTGAAAACACAATTAGGATAGTATTCGTTGGATTACAAAGAAATATATATTGTTTACAAGTCATAGATATATTTTAATTACGTGGCTTTTACAGTCAAAACCCATATTCTGTTTTTCACATCTTAACTTAATCTCCTGGATGATATTGTTGAGAAAAAAGACAAGATGAACCTGCTGGAAACACATTAGTTTCATAATTATTTTACTACGTTGAAGTAAAAATTAAGGAAGTGTATTTCTCTGGTTACAATCAGTGGTATCTACGGGGACAGTGGGATAAAAAAGGTCAAGATGTGGTCATGACTGTACAAAGCTCCGCCCCTTTGCACGTGCATCAGTGTGGGCTTCAATCAAGTGGCCGCAATTACCATGTTGCCTTTTTGACACCTCCCCCTCACAACTTCCCCTTCAGATGCCCCTGGTTATAAATCAGGGTATGTCATGACAAAAGATATAGCTCTATCTGTTAATGTCATACAGATTTAATCAATATAATTTTGCTGTTCTAGAAAGAGGATGATTCATTTATTTCTTTTTTATGCTGCTTCAATTAAAGTTTGTACTACTAAAATACAGTAGTACCTCGGGTCACGAATGCTTCTGTTCACGAACAATTTGGTTCACGAACAGCACCATTCGCAAAATTTTGCTTCCATTCACGAACTCTGCATCAGGTGACGAACAGGATCCGCCCAGAAGTAGTCACAAAACATTTACTCATAATACTGTATTTGCTTTGTATACAGACCTAGTGTTTCAGAATTTATTACACTATACATTGCTCTTATCCAAACTTTTCTTTGCTCTAACTGTATCACAAGTGACAATCATCCCTCTTTTGAGGAATACTGGGGTAACAGAGAAAATAGAAACAATGAAGTGATGTCACTGAAGGGGTTGTAGTTGAAAGCAATTGGCTCTTGTGGGGGCAATTCTGGGAGACATTAAAAAGGTGCATTAAGCTTTAAAATACATATTTGTTTTTTTTTCTTACCACACTCCCAAAAATAAATGTTTTGACACATTCAGAGTGCTTTGGGGGCCATAAAAAGTAGTGCTGGGGTACATGCCATCATTCATACTCTTGTACATCTTTGGTTACAGAATTTGATGAAAGTATTTCATAAAATCTAGATGATTCATAGGATGCTAGGCAGCACTGCTAGAGAATAGAATGGTATGCACTACATTATGACTGAGGGACTTATAATTTCAGTCACCCAATTTTCCAGCTTGATAGTATCAGGAATGGAGCGTTGGGGAAGGAAACCCCCAAACCTAAGCCTTTGATACCTGCACTGTCTATACAGAAGGACTGTTGGCACCCTTGCTTTCTCATGCATGAATTAGCTTTGAGCTCTTCTATGGAGAAATGCAGTATCATTTAAATGGTTATTAGGACTTGGAGAGAATACACAGGAATATTTGGCTCAATGACCCAAGGAAAGTTTATTTCCCATACCCTGGTTCCAAACATTCACCCAAAAGCTTTCTTTTGAGTTATGCATAAATAAAGGAAAACCTCTACTTACATCTACTTAACTATATCCTTAAACAGAATGAAAATGGAAAACTAACATCCAGTCATTGGCCTCATTCGTGGTCCCAAAAAAGATATCTCCATTTGCTGAGGAGGCAGCAGACCAGATGCAAATCCTAAATGCCCTTACATAGTCTTGTTGATGTTAAACAATTGTAAAAGAGCACATAAATTAAACCAGAACAGTTCCATCAAAGCATATGGAAATTATTCAGCAGTAAGTAATTTCAGGAGTGTTGCCATTTTTTTCCCCTTTGAGTGTGGGAATTTCAGCACCATCTTCAATTTCAAGGAAGTATTTTAGTTTAAGATAGAGACTAATAACAGTTTCATCTCTTTTCAATTTCCATGTGTTAAACTTTTTTAACACATTGTTTATGGATTCACTGGTCTGGTAAACAAGGAGTCTGAACTAATTATTTTTTATCTTTTTTTTTAATATTGATCTGTTGCTTTGGGCTTGCTTTTTTATTTTTGACAGAAGTAAGTTTGAAAAATTTAATGGGACAAGCTGCAGTAAGAAGTGACTTGAAAGGCAGACATAGCTTCTCATGCAGTACTTCTGGGCGAACAGGCTTTTTGAAGACTTTTAAAACTACACAATATTTCATCAAATCTACATCTTAGCTGCAAAACTAGGATAAATATTCATGCTGGAAGTTCACTGGTTGGATGCTCTGTATTCGCTGGTTTGAATGCCATTCTAAAGTGTAGTTAGTGATATGAATCAAGATGCAGTAAATGTTGACTCTTTCCCTCCTTCCTTCACCCTAACCAGCTATGAGAAAGTTTTGCTTGCATTTTATATGAATTACAATTTATCAACTGTGATTAATCATAATTATGATTGAAGCAACAAACAAACTTCAAAGCATTACCAAATTATAGGTTTTGAATGTAATACTAAAGTGTTGTTATTCAAAATACAAAAGCAGAACAAGCTTCCAATCTCTTTACAAGCATTCCAGGAATTGGGTGGAGGGGACCACATAAATTTAAGATTCATTGTGGCTTATTCCTGTCATGCTGAATGCTGGTGTCTTATAATTTCTCAGTGAAAGTACCTGTATCTCTTGTCTTAGGCATATGTTAAATTTTATTAAGAGAGGTAAAGTTCATGCCAAAGGATTTTAGTAACTCTATATGAAATTAAAAAAAATAACTGCAATTAAAACTATCTTTTTCCAAGAAAATTGAATTAGATATACATATGTAAAATCAAGTTTATAAAAATATATTAACATCATGTTTATAAAATACATTTAAGTTTTTCATTTATGCATCCTCTCCTTTTTCTTTTGAAGCAGGTACCCAAAATCAGGACAAAAGTAAGGACACATCATGGTTTTGAAGTACAAAAGGAACTTCTAAAGAATCAGTATTAAGAGTTCCCATCCTTGCAAAAGGGGTCTCTCTGTCTCTCTCTGTCTCTCTCTCTTTGCATCTTCACAGCAGTAGTAGACATTCTGCTAAGCAGATGCTGAGCCAACAAGATAGAATTGTGTGACTGATCCTTTATACCCTGCTGCCCATTTCTCAATCCCAGGATTGTTGAGTAAAAATGAGAAGAAAAGCCAAGAGGTATCCATCATCCATCATTTGTCACCTGAACCTTCCACAGCATTTCTGCATTCCATCTTTTTACACCTTTAAATAAGCATTTGGCTTGGTTGTACGTTGGCTTCTAATATTAATGCACAATCAGGAGATGATCTAGCTGAAACTAATAGTTAACTTTCAGGAATGCATCTTTGGTAGCTATTTGTGAATCACTTTTTGTAGAAATGCAGAAAGTTTACATAAATATTTACAGGCTATTTTAGAACAAATTATTTTTTTTAAAAAAGTTAAATAATTTTAAAGTTCTGTTTAAAGAACTGGCTTGCAGAGGTGCACTGTCAAATGTTTAAAATGCATAGTTTTAGTTCTTTATGCAATTTCATTGTTCATTGCTCAATAACTTGTCATTTTTCACTGTTAGCAATATAGGTTCAGTCCTACATAGATAACAGTATCACAGGTTCTTGAATGTGTTTTACTTTCTTCTTAAACAATCATTCATATGTAAAATAGTTTTCATAGCTGTATCACTGAAAACACAAGTATAAGCTTTGCTGCTTTTAATGACAACTTTGAATTGGACAACTGGTTTGAAAATGTAACAGGATGCAGAATTCCTTTGCAATTAGGACTTTGAAAGTTCTAATTGCAAAGGAAGCTTGATTCTTAAGTTTACACTGACATTAGCTCTATGTCTTGCTGTTGAGCACAAAATACCTGATGCTAACCTAATTCCTTTCAACTTCAACCTAGATTAAAACACCTAGTTGGGTGCTTTAGAAACCACTTTATACAGTATTTGTATGTGTCTCACTTTTTTCCCTTATTGTAAACTGTTTGGAAATTTCCTGCTCATACCATCCTTAAGCAATCTATGTAGCATGTACAGTAGACTGGAAAGTACTATATGATACTGCAAAGAGATTTTGTACAAGTACAGTTACATAGATTTAAGCAAAACTCATCCTAGAGAAAATCTAGCTACAATGGTTGACACTGACTTAAAGGGACATATTTAATCACTCAATCAACTCTTTTAACTTTTGTTCTGTGAGCTGCTTAGTTGAGCATGGAAAAAAGACATTCATTGACAATTTCAGTAAATGTCAGGGAAGGTAACAACGATAAATATGGTAAGTTTACCATCAAAATATTAAACACCAATATGTTGTGAAACTTATTAAAAATGTGGTTTGGTTTGTCCAAAGTTATATTTTAACTAATTAGGAATATTTCTAATGGGAATCAGAAAATGGGCTGTATTTCAAGAGGCAAATGCAAGGGAAAATGTCTTTTGTGATCTAGATTAGGCCTTCTGTTTGTGGAAGCTTTATATATTTACAGAATGCTCACTACTATTAAATACTGGAATAAAGCTGTTCTTTTTTCATAGGGTTTTTTTTTTTTTTTTGGCAGTCTATTGAGTGTCTTTTCTACCTCTCTCAGAATTGGTTTTTTTCTGAAACCTAAGTTAACCTATTGATTTCTAATTTAGCCAAAGATTTCACATGTTCTAAAATAAACTGTTATTTTACCTTGACTGTAAAGCTTCTACTGAAGCTGTCTGAAGTTTCCCACACTCAAAGCCATATGTGGCTTAAAAAACGGACAAGAAAAGTGCCATTGCCTGGAAAGGAACAGGAGGGATAAAGCTGTGTAAGAGAGAAAAAGAAGCAGAGGGCCAGGAGAAGAAACTAAGGATATATAAATGAAACCAGCTATCAAGTGGGG